GTGTAAGAAAGATCCTTACACGATGCCGGTAACTGCTTTTAGTCTAATTATTATCCTAACAACCTTCCTGGCATGGTAGGCCCTGCAGGAACAATAGTTCCAGCCAGTGTAGCTTGGTGATTCATTGCAATGTGCAAGCCCGACCACCACGTCAAGGTAGCAGCTATCGGTTGATTGTATAGCTATGTGAATGAATTCGTTGAAAAGAGTCTCTTCACTGAACGTTTTCTCTTTTTCATATTATTATTATTGTTGTGTGTCGAGGTCAGTCAGTGGATCATTGAAAATTTAGCATCTATCCGATGAATGCAAATTCATAAAACCGATCAACGAGAAAAACATGACTGAACAGATCGGTCAAAAGCTAATGGACACCCTCCGTAAGCTAAAAACTGAATCTTCCATCACCGAGGAAACGTTCGAATCCCTAAGACAATCTGGCTCAAATATACCACGACTTTACGGACTCCCGAAAGTACACAAGAAGGGTCTCCCTCTTTGACCGATCCTCGACATAACCAATTCGCCTTATCACCGCACAGCCCAGTGGTTAGCATACCTGCTAGAACCAATCAGAACACAAGTTTCCTGCCACACAGTTCGAGATTCTTTCGACTCTATCGATACAACCGAAAACCTAACATACGTTTTATGTTATAACATACAGTCGTTTAACAACTGCCACCCCGCGATTCACGCTGGAGAAAGAGTCCCACTCAAAAATATCCTTTCTTGACGTCCAACTAAGAAGACGAGAACAGGATGGAACACTGAAAAGATCTATCTACAGAAAGTCGACGTGGAACGGACAGTTTACTAACTTTCACAGTTGGGTACCTGTATACACCAAACGAAACCTGATCCGTTCACTCAGCTACAGAGTTCGCAGAATTTGTACCCCTGACACCATAGAAGATGAACTGGACAATCTCAAGAGAATCCTCGCCGAGAATTGTTATATAGAACAATTTATTGCTAAATCTATGACTCCTAGACCGAAGAAGCCGCCGACGCTTAGCGTCCCCAAAAAAGCGACTCTAAATGAACCTTCAATTCAACTGAGATATATCTGCGGAAACACTGACAAATCGAGTGTCGCGCTCACTTAAGAAAACCTTTTTCGCAGCTGAACTACGATTAACCTTCTCCACAAAACCTATGATTCGTGTAAACGTGAAGGATAAGCTACCACTGCTGACTGGCCTCATCAATGTGTATTTACCAATTTACCTGCTCGTGTGGAGCCAGGTATGTCGGCCGTACCCAGCGTTCGCTTTCCAAACGTATCACGGAACACTTACCAACATGGTTTTACAAAAGAGAAAAACGATGCCCCCGCAGCTCTATCTTAGAACATCTGATAGATTCCAGACACCAAGCTACACCCCAAACAAACTTCAAAGTCGTCAACAGAATATGAAGAGGTCTTTCTAAAAGTGTACGAATTAGACTTCTTCAAACTACAGAAGCAATGGCGAATCACTTGCTAAGTCCTGAACTCTGCATACAGAAGAAGGTCGTTCAATCACTACACTTACAATGGACGTAATCTATCTTATTACCCGACAGGTAAATTCTACCTAATCCTTTTCTCTTCTGTCTCTTCATTAGTATTATTTTGTCTTCTCAATTGTAATATTTTATATTTTCAACCTTCTTGTTCTCTAACCCCACCCGATTTAACTTCTGTACCTCATTACCACTGTTACTGACTTGACCAACGCTCAATTTCTAGTCATGTATGTTACGTCATCCAACTTATTTGCTCAATTTCAGTTCTAATTTAAATGGCATTATTCTCTACCCCACTTCTACTTAGTCTCTACCTGTAATTACCTCTGTTGCTGCCCTGACTTAAGTTGAAACATTTTAGTCAATTATATTACGTCATGTAAGTTACTGACTCAATCTTACTCTAGTTGCTGTCTAACTAACCTTGTTTCTATATTAGATAATTCTTGCATTACCTGATTAAATATCTACACTTGACAAAACTTCATGTACACATACACACAAATAATTAAATATAAATGCGATTGAACAGCTACGTGAATGAATTCGTTGAAAAGAGTCTCTTCACTGAACGTTTTCTCTTTTTCATATTATTATTATTGTTGTGTGTCGAGGTCAGTCAGTGGATCATTGAAAATTTAGCATCAGTTATAATAAGTGTTTTATTCTATATAGTTTCACGCAATTCCTTGTAATCCGCATCTATAATCCCTAGAGGGAGGATAGATGAAGTTAAAAACCTAATTGAGTTATTTAATAGAAATTCATTGGCCGATGTTTCTTTTTCATATGCGATTGATCTGCTGACTGACTAATTGACTGTATTTTCAACGTAGAATTATGCACAATCATGTTAGCAGTTCAAATTGTCAAACTGTATAAAAGCGCAAATAATGGTGATAAAATTGAGGAAAGAAATGCACATGTACTATCATAAATAGAAGTTTACGAGCGAAAAAAGAAAATAATTGCATGAAATATAATGAGAATTTAGTGGATCTGGGAGTTTATAAAGCGTGAATACTCACTCCTGCACCACTGAGAACAATTTTGTGCTACTTCACCAATTGTCTCAAACCATTGGTTCTGAGCGTCTCTATTCCTTCAGCCAGGTAGTCTACACCTTTTGACGTGGGTGGATCGAATCAAAAGTTAAAGGAACTTGATTTAATCACCCCTGATTCTTTTCAAATCCAATCTTATATTAGCCAGTATTTCTCAACGAGGAAGACTATGGCTTGCCATGCATAACACGTGTCTTAGTCGCCTCAATCGATGTGGCTTCATAACTAGATCTATTGACTTACCCTCATTACTTAACACTACAACTGGTCTCACTACTACCCATCGCACTATGCCACATAACACTGTAGATAGACTGCAGACATCTATGATAAGAGACTGCTAACCTCTCTATATCTTTAATTTTCGACGGCCTCACCAAACAGTTGCAAATAAGGACGCAGTGGACGATCACTATTAGATGTCATGGATGCGAATCCATGAGCACTGTAGTCGTAGTTAGTTGACTAGTGTATCCTATTAACGATATATATGATAATTCACCAGTCTGTTTGTTGTGCTTATTATGTGAGGTGTTTTGATAGTATGTAGTTATCGAAACTGGGATCTAAGAAGCACGACCTGTATCCTTGATGCTTGAGGTTATGATGGTACACCTCCACCTCAGTTGATTATGTGGATAACCCGAATTCTACAAGGCATCATCACGCTTTGTATTTGTTGTCATAATTTCAAGACAATTAAATCATATTTTTACGAACGCATATATATTTTTTCTTGTTGTAATTTGGTTGGCGGTGGCTAGTAGTGGAATGAATTTGAATTCGTTCATCGACCAACTGCCCCCTCACCTCAGTGAATTATGTTATCTCTTGGGACTGTAGGTCTGCTCTATCGTATTGCATGGCCCTGTGTTGTTGGATGGACAAGAGTAGCTGAATTTTCTCTGAGCTACTGCTTCATACTAAAATAGGTTAAGATGTGCCTGATCGACTGAATCCTTGGCATATTGCCCCAAGTAGAATTCTCGTTTCGAATCCATATTCACCTGCTTCAATCCGATCAGCTGGGTAGTAACATCAACGTTTAGTCATGAAGTGTATAACTGATAACCTATGTGGGGTAATGCAGGTTGATAGGAAGCGGCGAAAATTGAAGCGAACATTTTAACTCAATGGCTGGAGAGGACGAAGTGTCTATTCCGTAAATCTCGATTCAGTCATATTTCTGAACATGAAATGCTATCATTGGACAACTTGTCGAATCTTGGGCCAATCGCCAACCAATCTGAATGATTTGTTCTTTTCTTACTCAGCCAAACTTAATGTGGTTAAGAAAGTATAAATATACTATGCTTTTTCTTAATGAACTTGCGTTATGCAGTCTGTTATCTGCTCTCGTTACACAGTGTGCTCTGCATATCTGAGTGTTTAACAAACCATTATTATCTATGATTTCCTTCAAATTTAGTCACGTATTGATACCAGCAACAACAAGAGACAACAATCAGCATAAGTGGGAAGAACCTGAAAGAAAAAACCTCCTTCACCTACCTGGGAAGCATCGTCTCAACTACATGCGGAACTGACGAGGATATCAAAGCCAGAATCGGAAAAGCAAGACAAGCTTTCATTACTCTCAAATCTGTGTGGAGGTCAACAGCACTCAGCATCAAAAATAAGATCCGGATTTTCAACTCCAATGTAAAATCAGTGCTTCTATACGGATCAGAGACTTGGCGAGTCATAAAGAGCATCTCAAACAAACTTCAAACCTTCATTAACAGCTGTCTCCGCTCAATACTCAAGATCAGACGGCCAGAAAATATCAGCAACAGGGATCTCTGGGAGCGAACCAATCAGGAACCGATTGTGAAACAAATAGGCAGGAAGAAATGGAGATGGATTGGCCATACGCTGAAAAAACCATCAAGTGACATCACTAGACAAGCCATTGCTCGAGTGGAACCCGAAAGGGAGGCGGCGAGTTGGTCGTCCAAGGGTGACTTGGAGGAGGTCATGCGAGGAGGAGATGAAAGCATGTGGACAGACCTGGAGCAGGGTGAAAAAGTTGTCAGAAAACCGAAGGCATTGGAGGTGCTCAGCTGAAGCCCTATGTTCCTCTAGGAACTAAAGGATACAATAATAAAAATAATAATAATAATTGATACCAGTTAGAGAACCATTGAAAACCAAAAAGTGTTGCGTAGTTGATTTGTCCTAGTTCGGGACTCTTCAGTGGTAAGTGCCTGTGAACCCCTAGGGGCGAACCCATGACCTTCAGGTTACACAGGCCAAGGTCATTGACTATTCAGCCACTTTGCTCTGTATCCAGTGATCCGTGAATTCTACTTTCTGTCGATTCCCGAGTTCAATTTTTTCATTCATAATTTTAGTTAATAGTTATGATGATATCGGTTTTGTTCATTTATTTATTTTCTTTAAAATTGTGTTTTCTTTTTTCAGTACAGATGTAGCCGTCTTATTGGTGTATCATGCTTTTCATCATGCTTATTTAAAAATGGATAGTGATGATGACAATGACGATGGTGATGATGAACGCCATGAAGATAGTTCTCAGTTGATTTGTTTATGGCAATCATTAGATAATGATAAAAGAAATAATTCAACAGAGTCGAATACTTGTAACTTTGTATGTAATCGTCGTTCGTTACTTCGTCGTCATGTGCGTCGTCATACTGGATTACCAAATTACATTTGTTCTAGCTGTCTGTCTTGTTTTACAGAGTTTGTTAGTTTCAAAGAACATTTTATATGCAGTGTATTTGGAGATCAGCAGAATGAGATACGATATAATGAGCCAGGTATTCCATTGTTATTGTTGTTTTTCTTAAACTTATACGCTGATGCATAAACACCAGTTAGTGTTTAGTCTATGCTATGCCTATAAGCAACATTACTTTATTATTATAACACAAACTTGGTACATTATGGATACCGAGAGATGCACCCCACAATATCTCTAGTTTTTTCAAGGGTTGGTGTACTTCCCAGACGCCTAGACAAAACAATTGGGGACATGACTCAAAACCGTTCTCAGTGGCGGGCGGAGATGCATCCACTCCTTGTGACTTATGATTTCCAATGAAACTGTTTTGTTCTTCGTTATTACTGTTCCTTTGTCTCACACCTCTGTTTACTGTCTCTATTATTCTTTACTTGTACTTTCTTCTCTTGGTTTGTGTGCTACAAAGGGGGAGTGTGGCGACTTGAACTGGTGCACATATGTGCAAAGTTCTATGTCGAAAACAGACAGACAGACGCCTAGACTAAAGCCAGTAGTTATCATAAGGACCTGATCTCCGAACCCTTTACCTAAAGTCTGATCCAAAAGGCAGCAAAGCAGTGTCAGGAGCTGTGTTCCCATGGTTTCCAGTGAACAGAACAGGTTAATTCGCCATTCGACTTGTTCATATTCGTGTGTCCAGATACAGCAGTCTGGTTGTGTAGGCGCTAGACGTTTTCATTCAGCTTTTCACTTTTGTGAGGAATATCCACCCCGTATGAGGGCAGGGAGTGGGACCTATCTGGTGGAGGCTAGGAACGTGTGGTCACATGAAAACACTTCAGGAGGGAGACCAAAGTCTACTAAGTAGTTTATGGGGGGCTTATGAGCAATAAATTGTTCTCGAAAAGTCACCTGTAGATAGTACTGTATCACTGTGTGTTGTTTGGTAAACCAAATGATTTCATGTTGGGAGTTAACTGTCACACAGAGCCTGAATTTTATTCTTATATATTTTATAATAGCGTAATTGTTTTGGTGACTGTCAACGTGCATCCAACTGCGATAATGTTTGATTCTATTGGAGTAGAAATAAATTATGAAACACCAGGGGACCTGTGGACTACTGAAAATTCTAGAAAATATCATACAAAGGAGGTGTGTGTACTACACCTCGGTTTTCTAAGGTTCCGATAACTTGATGAAAATCTGAATTCAGTCAACCTCTTATAAACCATCTCTTTAACAAATAGTAAATATGTGGTGTGGATTTCAGTTTATCTGCGACTAGGACAGATGTGAAACGTACAATGTCAGCAATAAAAATCCAGTAATTCCAGTAATACTCATGATATCGGTTGACTAGCTATGTGGTAAGTTGCCGTGACTGTGACCTCGAATGCATTCAAGACTTAACCGAGGGAACCAGCCAAACTTCAGGCTCTAACAAGGGTGTACTGAACATATTTTTACCTTTGGACAGGTTTTCCAATTAGATGTACCGGTGTCCTACATCTGCCATATTCCTTGAGCTTAAGGCTTTGTCAATTGAGCGAGGTGCTGTGGTAATGTCTGTTTGTGAAAGGGGCTCTAAGGAAGTATCTTGTGTTGACGAATGCAATATACTTAAACTAATGACGTTGTGTAAGAGCTTATATTAAGTTGTTATTTAAAGTAAAGACAATCAGAAAAACATAGTGTTACAGTTTTTATTCAATTTTGTCATGTATATATATATATATATATATATATATATATATATATATGCTGATGTATTTGGTGATTTATGTATGAACAGAATAAGTTGGTTCGGTGTTTTCCAACTTGTGACACATGTCATATGTGGATATATGTACTATGTATCCATTACTCTTTGTCCTACCTTATGAGTGTGTATTGAAAGTGGGAGATATGAAAGGGTTAATCGTTTTTGACGAAATGTGTGTCCATTTGGTCTCGCATGTTATATGAAGCAATATGATCAGTAGTAATGTGATGACGCAATGTTAGGTGAAGAGAGAAAGTCAATCGGTGGCATTGTGAAGCTTTATGCACTGTCTTATGTGCATGCCAAGCCACCTCCGTCTTCAATATCAGCGAAATCGATATTAACCTGGATGGGAGTTAAGCGTTTTGAGATGAAAATATGGCACCACTCCGTGAAGTCTTTGACCGACCGTTGGTTCGAGCGAGCTACGTATAGAGAGACGTGTAGACTGCTTGGCTAGAGTCTTAAGGATGTTAAGAATCAATTGTTGGAGATTTTTGGTGGTATAACTCAGTTTTCTTCAGAAGAGCGTGGATGTAACCATTCCTTGGCGAAGTTAGGGTGTTTCAAAAGTTTCCCTTCAAGAACCAATCAGATACAGGGAACTCTATGAAGTCAAACCTCCTCCTTTGGACTTGGAGAGGTGAATACAATATTCCACTTATTCTCTGGTTACTTTCTTTGAAAATCTATACTGTTAGGTTGGGTTATGACTTTTGAGATTAAGGTTTAGGGTGTAGGGTTAAGGTTAGAATTAGGGTTAAAGTTAGGTTTGCGGTTAGAGTTAGGAGTGGGTTAAGGGACAATGGATCCTAAAGTACTATGACCTACAGTCATCTGGATGAATGCGTCTATCTCGCACGGTATGATTTCTGTATATATCTTCTTAGTAGTGACTAAGAGACATTCTCACAACGCATACACGGCAGCTATATAGTGTAGTATTATGTTTGTAGTGTTTCTTGGTGCATTTTTCAATGATTATGCGACTTTTTGCATCTGAATACCGATTGGATGACCAAGGTCACTGTAGTTTTGGCTATGATAGTTTAACTCTACCCATTCTTTCCCACTATCCGGATTGTGAAATGTCTCACTAATCTTCGCATGATCCTTCTTTCTCGCGTACGTTTCATAAACATTTACTTTTTCAAATTTTCTGAAGTGTAGCGATGTGAACTGATGCATTTTTGTGCAGAGTCCTACGTTAATGGTTCTGATCAGTGCATATGTATTGCAAATTTATTTTCATTGCCTTACCGCAACTTCATTTTTGTGATTGGTTGTTGAAACTCCGTTTCAATCCCCTAATTGTTTCATACTTAAAACAATATAATTTTTTACAACAGTATCTCAGATTTGTATGGAAATGTTATCCGATAAAAAACTGAAGCCTTCATTATAAATGATTTCATGTGATTATGAGAATTTCAGTTCCGTGAATGTGGAACTATGGCACAGTTGACAGTTTACTGTCTGCATTAACTGAGGTACTAGGCAGCGTCTGGGAATCAGAAGAAGTCCCATCGGGTTGGTGTAAGTCACTGATTATCCCCATATACAAGAAGGGAGACAAGTCTTCCTGTGATAATCACAGAGGGATTAGCTTGACTAATATATTATCTAAAGTCCTAGGCTCATTATTCATGCGTAGACTAAGTGGTGCTCGGGAGGCACAGACACGAGAGAGCCAGGCAGGCTTTAGACCAGGAAGAGGGTGTATTGATCATATCTTCACCCTCCGACAGATTCTAGAACATAGGAATTCCTACCGGCGTCCAACAGTCATTATATTTCTTGACCTAAAGGCGGAATTCGACTCTGTCGACCGAGAAGTTCTCTGGCGATGCTTGGCTGTAAAGGGAATTCCGAGAAAATACATTTCACTGATCAAGGCACTCTACTCGTACTCATACAGCCAGGATAGGGCTGACGGCGAGTTGTCACCTGAACTGATGACGACTAGTGGTGTCCGTCACGGATGTCCACTATCCCCTTTTCTATTCAACTTCATCATAGATGTGTTAATAGACTTAACCCTAAGTGACTTCAGCGACTCAGGGATTGACTTCCTACCAGGGAATAATCTCGTTGATTTAGAATATGCAGACGATATAGTCCTTCTAGGCGACGACTCTGACAAAGTGCAGAGTCTTCTAAACATTTTGAGCCGCAATCTACGAATGTTTGGCATGCGATTCGCTCCCGCCAAATGCAAGATGATGTTACAGGACTGGACTACATCGACGCCTAGTTTAAAAATAGGAAGTGAAGTGGTAGAGCGCGTTGACCGCTTCACTTATTTGGGAAGTACGATCAGCCAGTGCCAACGGGTTGATCTCTGACGAAATCTCAGCACGGATACAGGGGGCTTGTTTCGCATTTGCCAGTTTACGCCGTCTCTGGCGTAGAAGAGATGTTCGACTATCGACCAAAGGGCGGGTGTACTGCTCATCAGTCCGCTCCGTCCTCCTTTATGGTTGTCAGACCTGGCCACTGAGAGTGGAAGACATGAAAAGACTAGCTGTCTTTGATCATAGGTGCCTGCGCTCCATTTCCCGTGTGAAGTGGCATAATAAGGTGAGCAATATTGAGGTTAGGCGTAGAGTTCTAGGTAAACAGGGGAAATCAATCGACGACGTTGTGAAGATACAAAGACTGAGATGGTTAGGACATGTGTTACGTATGCCTGGTCATCGCCTTCCTCGACGAGCAATGTTAGCGGATATAGGGTCAGGCTGGAAAAAAGCTAGCGACGGTCAAACAAAAACTTGGATTCACTAGTCAATGAAATCTACAACAGTTAGTCTAAGCCACGCAGAAAGGTGTAGACTTCCAGGCTGGTGTCCCTGGGACGGTAAATACCAATGGTTGGAAACAATTGGTGACATGACTCAAAATCGTTCTCAGTGGCGGGCGGAGATGCATCCACTCCTTGTGACTTATGATTTCCAATGAAACTGTTTTGTTCTTCGTTATTACTGTTCCTTTGTCTCACACCTCTGTTTACTGTCTCTATTATTCTTTTCTTGTACTTTCTTCTCTTGGTTTGTGTGCTACAAAGGGGGAGTGTGGCGACTTGAACTGGTGCACATATGTGCAAAGTTCTATGTCGAAAACAGACAGGCAGACAGTTGATATTTGATCTACGGGTTACAAAGTCGAATCCCAGACTACTCATTGAGGTTTGAGCACACAATTAGTATCATTAATAATTTGTGCATATTCTTTGTTCACTGATCAGCATTTTTTGAAAATAAGTGTCAGTCAAATTACTTTTCTTCCAGGCAATGAAGATAACCACTGTCCAATTGAATTGAAGATTATCGAGGAATCGAAATTTTTCCCAAAACATCTTGAAGGCAGAGCTTTATTTCGATGTCCTACATGTATTAGAGAGTTTATAACAAAAGAATGCTGGTCTACCCATAAAAATGGATGTCCCAAGTCAAAAAACAAAATGAAGCCTACTGTGTCTACTATTGCTACTACTTCAACTACTACTAATACTAAAACTGATGAAGTAATAAATCCAAAACCATCGAAAAATAATGCTGTTATAAATCCTCGAAAACGTGTTTCACAACCATATTATAAAACAGTTGCAAATACTACTGACTATCTATACTGTTGTCAAGTCGGTAATTGTACATATAAGTCAAGTAAATTAACTGGATATCGTTTTCATTATAGACGTTATCATTTAAGTAGTAATCCTGATGGTCTATGGTATTCATGTCATATATGCACAGCATACAAAGCCCGTAAACCTTGTACAATATCTCATCATTTAAAGACTGTACATTCATTTAAAGTACCTGATGGATGTAAAAATTTACGTTTACATTTGATGAATCTAGTCAAACTTATCAGTTAATTGGGCGACCACAAGAGGAAAAAAGCGTTTGAGAGAATTAGCACCGAAACAGTGTTGATGTTTATGCAATATGAATTTGTACAGATAGTGATTTGATGTAAAATATTATTAATATATGTATCTACCTTGTTATTCTCTTTTCACTGTTACTAAAACTGTTACTAAACGATTGTGTGTGTGTGTCATTGGGGTGGTGAGTAAAGTTCAACTGTTGAAAGTAATTTGATCATAGATCCCAGGTATGTAGTGTTGATTAGTTCGAAGAGGAATAATGTAGACATTCTAATGCTAATATCATCATTATCATCATCGTCATCTAGAATAATATATAAGTCGAGAATTTGAACTTCAGCAGGAATTCTGAATGAGATAGAAGTCACATCGTGTGGAAACGCAAGCGATATTTATAGTAAGGAGAGGACAGAATAGAACTAGTGGAACTATTACTGAATAAGCTTATCAGTCTGTGTTGAACGTGATTTCTGCACTAATGTATGTGTTACACATACACAACAGTTGATTCAGGTGAAAACAGATTAATAATACGAATATTCTTAGCAGTCATTCTACACTTTTAAGTGTTGTTTTCACACGGATTTGATTAGTTTCAAGTTAGATCACGAATCTGCAAAAGTTGGAAATTATGAGCCATTGAATTCCATTCGAATGGTTGAGAGATCAACAAGTTCTTCAAATGACATGAAAGGTTGTAGGTTTGTTCCTCCTATGGGCTAATGCGTGCGTACCACTAAAGAGTTTCACAGACTGGGACGAAACAGCTGATTGATATCTGCTGGTGATCTAACTTGCAATTACTTCACACTTCTTTGCATTCACTGTTTTTCGTCGTACTATTTTAGGCTAGATATCATAACGGTACGAGTGGTCCTTTAGCACCAGATCTTGATGAAATTATTGGGACTCAGATGAAGAAAGCCAATCGAATGAGGAGGTACTTACTTCCGCTGAATTATTAGAACGTTTATATCAAGTATGTTTGTGTTTTGTCCAGCTTGTCAAGAACTATGATACACTTTATATAATATGATTGAGTTTTGAGAAATGTTTCATCTGTGGTTTTGATTCACGCATGTGTTGATAACCTATAGGAGACTTAGTTAAACAGACTAGCAGCTCAAATGTTGTTGCAAGGATGTAGCTCATTATCTTAAACACTCGGCTTTCAGCCAGTGGGTCGTGGGTTCGAATCTTTCCAGGTTAATTGGGTAGTAACACCAGCCCTAATACAAGTATTGTGGTTAATGGCTTGATACATAAGAAATCCATTCCGAACAGATGTTAGATGCATAATTTCTGTCCAATAAGGTGAACAGTAAGATCGATACAGAGCTAGCGAACTACTAGTGTGGTGAGGGTTGTTTGAAAGCCAAATTTGTAGACAGCAATTAAAGAATAGTGAAAAAAATGATCGGTTATGATATAACTATACTGTACACTAATATACCAATCAATATGGCTTTACAAGCAGTCAAAAGGTAACTAACTTCTGTTCCCGAAATTAGTCATAGAATAGAGGTGCCTAATGAGGAAATTATTTTAGGAATTCAGTTATGCCTCACATCTACTGTCTTTAAATTCCAGGGCAAAATATATAAACAAACAGATGGTGTAGCGATGGGATCACCAATATCCCCTATCATAGCAGATATCTTTATGGACAGCTGAGAAGATATTGCTCTAAATACATTTAATTCTGCTCCAAAAATATGGTGGAGATATGTGGATGACACTTTCACAGTGTTAGAAGCAGAACATATATCTAGCTTCTTGACTCATAAAAACTCACTAGTGAGAGGAATACAATTGACATTTGAATCAGAAATAAACAAGGAGAACTAGCCATGTTTGATTGTAAAATCAAACGAACAGAAGAAGGTAAACTGTACACTAGCGTTTATAGAAGCCAACGCATTCTAATACATATTTAGATTTTTATTCATCTCATACGTTGTCTGTAAAGGCTGGCCTAGTTAAGTGTTTAACATACCGAGCAGTAGCACAAAAAGACCTAAACGATGAAATGAAACAGATAGAAGAGGTGTTGGCGTTCAATAACTATCCTATACAATTCATTAAGAATATCAAAAAAGGTCAAAAGCAAAATAAAAATAATATTGAAACTAATAATGATAACATAAATAAGAGAGAATATAAGGCATCTACTGTATACCATAATAAGGAGAGGACATCCGACACCCTACGTAGGATTCTCAATAAAGCAGGAATTAGAGTGGCATTCAAACCTACAAACTCATCCAGAAACAAGCTCTGTGGGTTAAAAGACCTGGTGGACCCAATTAAACAAAATATTATAATTTACAAAATACCTTGCAATAACTGTGACTAGTAGATCGCGGTTAGTCAGATTGTCGGAACATGAGAATTTTGCTTAGGTAAGAAGGGTTCACGCCGAGAAGATAAGTAATTTAGAAAAAAGCAATTAGAAACCTTAACCTTAAGAAAATCACCAACCGATCATAGCGGAATTAACGTGTGGAAATATGATTCTCAGATATATAGCTTGATTTCTCGAGAAACAGCTACAAAATAACTTTCAGCAAGAAAATAACCAATCAGAAGAGGCTGCTTCTCCACTAACAATAATGTACATAAAAATCTATAAATACCTCTTGATTTTCTCAAGAAACAATCTGTTACCCTGTCATTTGTGTTCTATCGTTACACTAGTAGTAATAAGAACTTTGATTGAATTCTACTTGGTAGCTAGTGTCATGTGTCTACTCCTTTGTTTGGTGCAGGCTGAATTCTGTCAGTTAGATCTCCAATATGGTCACCATTATAGTTAGCTCATCATCACGGTGCACTTTGAATTGGTGATGATGTTAGATGGTTGGAGGAAATCGTCAGGAAGCCTTGGACCTAGGTTTCGTGCTAGTTGGCACTCACCAGTCAGCAAAGCGTATCTGCAGTCTCTGAGGAACATATGTCTCTTCTGGGATTCATACGAGCCTCACCCAATGCTGGGGTTTTATAAATTACATATAACATATATTGTATCTCATAAGTGGTCGTTGTAGTCATCCTGTTTGTCGTCGTCTTCTTCATGGTTGCCGCCGTCTCTCTGTATCCAAACAGTCACAGGCCGGTCTTTGTCTTTTGATAGTTATGTGGCTCAGTGAAACAGAAGTTACCAAGGACGAATAACCATATGTAGCATTTCGGTTAAGTTGTCCATGGTGTTAATATGCCCACGTATAAGTCCACCCAGTCATATCAACTGTCGACGAGATCAAGTTAGAATCGATCTTCATTTGAATCTGTGCCAATATTTGTTGAGTTAGTTGCCATTCCGATACTTACTAAAAGTAATGGCAATATAAGCCGGAGGTTAACGATGCTGCATCCACAGTGACTTCGATTTGTGTCGATTATTAGCGTAGTATTTATTGTGGTAACTCAGTTACCTGGAACAGATTTCGTATACACCACACCATCTGGTGGAATTGTTGCATGAAGACCTAATCAGGTGTGGCATAACTTGAGTTTCGGATCTTTTAAGATGAAATCCTGTGTTTTAGCTAATTGCTTCACATATCCACACGGTAGGTTCTGGGTAATATTTCTAAAATAAACTGGATTGTTTTTGTGTAATAAGTGTATCGTGATTCAGAACTGTTTCATATACACATTTACAGATATGGCAAAATGAAAAGATTGCACCTGTACTGCTAACTGCACACTCTGACTTATTAGGTCTTATTCAAACTGAAGTTAATCAATTAGAGTCTGAAGCGAAATCTTTACCAGCTGGTGATTTAAAAGCTCAAATGAAACGAATTCAAGTAAGTGAAAGTATTCCAAATTGTGTTTCAGTATGCATATAATCCAGTGATGTATATGACTAGATCATTTAGTTATGACCGATGCACCTCACAAGTTCATAGCGTTAATCAAAGTCCATTGATTAAGTTTGTAAAATGATGAGTAAGCTGAGTACTACATCGCGTGTGTCGTCATTCAGCCTTAGATATTGGGAGTCAATCGACTTTAGGTTTTCACCCTTGATTTCTGTTATGATGTTGCGACCGTATAATTTCTCAATAGCCATTAATATTGAAATACGATAGGTGTTCCGATGCTGAGCACAGGCGCGCTGACCACTCTACCGCCTGACTATGCCAACACCATTATACGATAGCTACCTGTTTTCCCAGCCCGCTCTACGTAAGCGAGAGCACATAGTGATGTGAGATGGAAGGTATATGTAACAGTATCCGTATAAGTTTACTATAGGAGAGAACGATATATGTGTTGGGTAATGGCGTGTGCGTGAGAGATGAGGATATCGCGGCCACCTGCTTAAATCACTGGCTACCAGAATTTCCATTCATCGAAATGTTTAAACTCTTCTGGATTTCTTATTGTTTTAATCATGCAATTATGTCAGATGATCAGTGCATGAACCCGCGCACATATTTAATTAGCCTCCTGCTAAACATTGTGCAATTTTTGAAGGAAATGGGGAAAAGTGTACAGAATTAGTTCTCTCTTCAAATGCAACAAAGTCACATCACATACTTCAGGTTATTACTCTACCTGTAAATCCTTTATGAAGGGAAATATTTTGGGAAAGAATGGTTACTGAACAGAGAATATTCTTTTCGATAAATTCATCATCAGGTTCTACAGTTGTATACACATAACAGTGAATGAATTAGTGATATTAACAACATTAATGTTGTTTAAATAACATCTAATGGATAATAATGATATCAATGGATTACAGCATCAATATAGCAATACATTGAATATCAGAAAAATTAGGAGAGATGATAACACAAATTCATGAGCTTATAGTGTCCACTAAAGGCTGTCCAGGGCAGCAGTAGTGGATAGATGGACTTACTTCTTCTGCACACAGAACACAGGTTGTTTCAGACGAATTTCGATAGCCTCTGAAGTTTTGAGTGTATGGTACCAGGATTTTTTTGGAAGTTTGTTTAGTACCTTATGAATGTTGGTGAAGGACTCGTCATTATTATCTTTGTGGCTGGTTTGTACCAGGTGTTCTATATTGAACTATTGGTGGTTCTCACTACACCTTTATTTATCCACACAGGTAATTGTTCCAGAGCACGAAAATGCAAATTTCTAGAGCAGCGGCCAGTGTAACTCGTCCCACAAGCATAGTTGAATTGGTAGAGGCAATTAGAAGTGGCTAGTCTAGGTATTTCATCTTTGAATTAAGGAATCACCATCGGTCGTGTAGGTTGCAGAACTTGTAGTTTGCTAGTATTTCGGGGACCACATACCCTAAAGATTTTAATGTATGTTCACATACTGTCTGAAATAAAGCCTTATTATTATTATTATTATTATTATTAAATGGATGTGACCTGGCCAATGACTAAGTCGTGAGTGAAAGTATCCAGACTGACCTTGATCACTTTCACACCATAAACACGTGACATCTGATTTGATTTTGTCTTACTATAGATTAATTATGCTTACCGATCCTTAGCAGAGACGCCTCATCACTATGATTTACTGAAGTATCACATATAAGTCTGAAGTTAAGCCTAATATTCTGTGAATTAACTGCCAATATCTTATGTAGCAAAACAAAAAGATTTTAGTCACTAACTCATTAGCCACACCAGCTATCTTGAAAGTCGATATCGTCATGACATACATCTGATTCTAATGCGTCAATGTTTGCTAGAGGTTTCCATTTATCTTGGCAACTATACTTTAGCGTCCTTCTCAACCTGACAGTGTTGAATGATAGTCTATTATATTGGAGCCCTTATATTCGCGATATAAACTTTGGATCGTTTAACAGACTTAGTTCTATCAGTCAGAAGGGATATTAGTTCCTTCAAGGTTGCAGATACGCTTTGCTGACTGGTGAGTGCCAACTAGCACGAAACCTAGGTCCAAGGCTTCCTGACGATTTCCTCCAACCATCTAACATCATCACCAATTCAAAGTGCACCGTGATGATGAGCTAACTATAATGGTGACCATATTGGAGATCTAACTGATAGAATTCAGTCTGCACCAAACAAAGGAGTGGACAGATCACACTAGTTACTAGTGTGCAATCAAATTAAATAACTCTTACGTACTCGTCATCATTATGTTATGGGTTCGTTGGCCATATTATGGTGTGACCGAGTATAAATATACGCTAATGAGATATAACGGACGATAACGTACAGACTGGTTCTGCTGAGTCCTGACGCGAAGGTGACAAATCAGAAGACCACCACGTTCACGATGATACGAGTATTTTCACACAAGAGTGTGAGTGAAAATGTACCTAGTATACGAAAGGTGTGGAAGAGTGTATTAAGTGTACAATTAAAGAGTATATAATATGAAAATGACTAACATACATGAACCAATAATATAGACAGCAGTTTTACTTACCACCACTTGATTCTGATTGGTTGTAATGTCATGTGACAAAAGATTATACTGTCGTGAGAGCAGGCTGCTAGCCAATTGGTAGACATTAATCTACGTCAATGTCTAGGTCACTAATATTCGCTGTGAGAAAATATGGACAAGGCTGATTCAACAACCAATCACTACAGACTTAAACGTGGGCAAATATGATTCCCAGATAGATGACTTCACTTTCCGAGAAATCTCGAAAACAACCAATCAGAAGACTGCGTTCGTCTACTTGAATAAGCTATGATAATGTACATGAAATATATATTAATACTTGCTGATTTCCGTAATAAAATGATCTGTTGCCGGCCCTTTTCTTCTGTTGTTACAATACATTGCTTATTTAGTTAATGGACAGACAGAGCATATTGTGAGTTATAGTGGAATATCGATCAATATACACATAGCAAAATATATCAGACTGTCAAAACAAAGCAGACATCATGTGACTATATATCACCTGGTCATTGTTACGAAGGCTAATGAAGTAATGACAAAAATACACAACTGTAACACAAATATCTGTTCTCAGTAGTTATATGTATTCACTGAAGTTTTCCAATATTCGGAAGATAATGCTTTCAAATCTTGAATAAACTACAAACTATCTGTGCTATTCAGTTGTAACTGATGTAATCATAGAAGTATGAAGTGACAGAGTTTCGCGCTGAGTTAAAAAATAAACAGTGCGTTATTCAGTGTGAAAATTTCGCACACCAGCATATTTGTTCTCAAATCTGAATCTGTCTGTGTCACTTTTGTCGTGCAAATTAGGAGAGCCTAGAAATGTCTTTGTTATGTTTACCACGCCTTTTCTGCCAGTATTAACAAGAAGAATTAGTCTTAATAGTTCGACCAAAAGTAGTATACAGTAGAAAGCCATGTAAACGCTTGTAAGTTATTGTGGGAGGCGGAAAGTAGACCTTAAATTGTATCCCTGACTCGATTGTGCCTAGATGTTAATATAAAATAATTTAAGTACTCATAGAAGATTTTCACCAAAATCTATTTTTGGTGCTTTTCCTGAATATTTACTGCTGTAATCATTTTCTGCTGTGTAATCAAATACTTCATTTCAGGTGTCTTGACATACATGGAAGGATTAACTAACACACGTTTGTTTGCACGCTTTTTAATTCGACCCAGTTACATGATACATGATTCCCATACGTCACATACGCCTTCCTATTCAACTTTGCTATGCACTGGTAGAGCTAAATTTTATGTATAAGCGGAGCGAGGATCATAATGAATCAGACGCGGATGCCACTTGAGTCGGAGTGTAATTGACACAACTACAGCCGGATATTTTAATGCTCTATGAGAAGTGCAGTACTCACCAAGGAAGTAAGAGATGACAATGGATGCATTCCCACTGGAATGTCACAAAAATTGAATTACATTCTGACTAATGCTAATGTGCTATTTGCGTTCAAATCAAAAATTCATTCGGTCATAGACTCCACGAAAGTTCTGCGTTGGTAAAATACTGCTCCACCTCTCCGCGAAACCAGAGCCAGTTTCACTGGATTGATGCCGTTATTTTCTGATGCGACACAGCGCACAGATCGAGTTGCTCTGATGAACACTGTGAACTGGTAAATGAGGTTATTCACACAGGTGTCGGACAGTATACCTGAAGTACTCTTAAATCAAGTGGAGTACATAGCACACATTGCATGCTAAGCGAAAGGTCTGTTATTAATGACGTCTCTTCAGGTAGCAGAATGACCATGTGGCGCCAAGGAACCTGCGTTCCCACGGAGTTTGTTTCAGACGAATATAATCAAAAACTCCTGATGAACACCAGGAATTTATACCCACCGAATTAAAGAAGAAAACTCATCAACAAAGAGGCAATCATCTTCAAACGAATAAAAGACAGTGTCCAATTAGTGTGAGAACGACTGGAACATTCATTTCCGCCTTTACGAATAACTGAACAAAATGGTGAGTACTGAGACTATAAAGCGAGAGGATTTCTCCACTGAATGACAAACAGAGGTATAATAAATCTCCCTCAGAATAACTGCATAATGACTAATGATAATATTTATTCCTATCTATGTAGGACACACCAGTTTTACAGGCATGGATAAGTATTATTTAAATCCAAACTGTCGAAACTTTTCCAGGGAAGGTCACTCAGTTAACACTAAATTCTGCAGTCAGTCTCAGAACGGTGCACTAAGGCCCTCTGGCCACATCACTCCAGAAGGGGTAAGAAATGGGCTTCCAATTTACTTGTTGGTGGAGCAATGTCGGAAAAACACCACTTGTCGCAAGTCTGTAGCGTTATTCTTGATACTGCCGAAGCTGTTGAAAATTGTGCTTGATGATACTGGAAAACACAGTGGTGAGCGGAGTAGATTCCACTAGACTTGGCATAGTTTCATGAGAGGTGGATAAGGTGCAATAAGCCCATTGTTGATGTGAAATGACCAGATATCATTCTAAGCGCTATCATACTTTCAGTGGTTACGAAAGTACTTCAAATTGAAGTATGCGCTGAAGATGTCACCCAGTAGGGTCATAAAAGCTTCGCAAATTAACCATCCAGCTCAGAGAACAAAACCACATCAAAAGTACTTTACTGTGTTTAGTACCACATTACTTTTCATAAAGTAGACAGGCAAGTATTGATGCGTTGCTTCCCGCAGTCGTATCCACTCATCTTGGCACATCTGGACTTCTCTGCAAACTGTTGCAACGAGATTCGAAGGGCGATGAAGTGTTAAGAAGACTCGAAAAACAACTTGACAGGCTTATAATCTCTTGGAGACTGAGTGTAGGTCAACGAAATGTCTTTTAATGCCAAAATGTTCAAAGTGGTTCAGCCACTGGTCTTTTCACCAATGCAATTACAGCTATGATTACTGCTTTATTCTAGGGAGAATGTCTGCGCAATGTGTAGAGCTCTTAGTGCAAATTATCGCATGATGTTCACCCTTCATTCATGGGGTTGACATACACACAGGGAATCTACAGTATATCATGTGACTTGGTGTTGTCGATCTGAAGCGTAGACCAATCCCTTATGTTTTCCTTTCATCTCTGAGCAATAAGCATTAGGACAGAGGATAGCAGCACAAATGACTTATGGAGAGGCTGAGCATTTGGAGGTCACTCGGAAGTCACACCACATTCCGCACATAGTTTCATCTAAATGTCTATAAATGAGATCCATTTGTAGCACTGATTCTAATCTTCAACCTCCTCCAAAATCCTTCAATAGAATTTATGTGTGTCCTCGTAATAGGATCGACAAAATCACTGGAATCGTTCACCCTACGATGAGATAACAGAGAGTGGTAACCTTTCTATTCATCTGTATGTATTATTGATCCCCGTTACACAAGTCTGGTGATAATAGGTATTAGAGTAGTTGCCTTTCTATTTGCTATTCTTTCCACGAATCCTCTTCGGAAGGAGGCTTCGTATAAACCAATTACCCAAATATTGTTGGCTCTCTGACGACCACGGTTGTATTTTTTTTTCAGCAACACAATTTCGTCAACGTGCACCACGATGTCTTCTCCACCCAATAAAGAGGTAATTTTCTCCATTTTACACGATGGAATGTCTCTGCAGTGCTGATACCACTGAAATGTTGAGACGAGGGTATTCTCAGTTTCAGCAGCTGTGGCTATTTTAAGACCCAGTCGTTGCAAATATACAAAATTTGCGTTTAGGAGAGATGGGACCTTGCAAATAAGTTCCTACGAAATATTAAAATCACCCGCTTACCTTCTCTAATGCTAACTCGCCTCAAACAAATCGCACAACGATGGAAATATCCATCAGTCGACCTGCTAAAGCTTTTTAAAGTCATCACACCAAACGAACAAATCATCTCCTTCCTAACCAACCTTAAACCCTCGAATTGCAACCGTAACCTCGTTAGGGCACGAATTTTAAACGAATTCAGCTCTATACAACATTGAACTCACATTCATGAATCTCATTGGACAATTCGACGTCGTTCGCTGAGTGATAGCTAGTGGTGCTTAACGTTTAACTTGGCTGGAACAAGTTAATATGTGTGTAAATTTCACAGATGTGATAAGCATTGGATCCACTTAGAAGAAGGATATTACTGCGTAACTTAATCAAAAAAAAAAATTACAAAGTTTGAAGATTTGATCTCTGTCAGTTCGTTGTAACGGATGGATAAGAGAGTCACTTGTGTAATATTTTCTTTTTACAGAAGAGAAAGTGTGAAAGATGTTTTCGAAGCCCTACAATTCTTCACTTTTATCATGGAATATATGGACAACTGTATGGAATTTCACCAATTCTGTGATTGTTTCCTCCCTTGTTCACATACTCACTGTGTCTAAGATGAGGAATTTTTTACCGGAGGTAAGATCAATTCACCTTGTATGTTTACATTCTCAGACATTTTTCACTGTTGCCGAAGGTATTTGATACAATCTCAATCTTTGCTTGGAAAGATCACACCTAGTTTCCTCGAACGGATGTGATCGTGACGGAAACTGCAAAGGCTCGTCCAACACCACGACCAACGGAGGCAAACTGATACAGATGTTGCGAATAGAGATGTGGTGAGAGCTTGCTGTTAGCGAAAATTGGTGGACAGTAATTTACATCAATGTTTATGTCCCCAATATTGGTCGTGAGAAAAATAAGAACTAAGGCTTTGCGTAGGCGGATACAGTTAACATATAGATGATCTGACATTCAAGAAACAACCACAAAGAGATGAAAGGTTAACTTTCAGTGAGAAACAACCAATCAGAAGACTGTGATTTCGGCTGACAATAATCTATAATAATGTACATGAAAATCTATAAATATGTGTTGATTTCTTTAATAAACGATCTGTTGTCTGGCCCTTGTCTTCTGTTACAGAATGATTAGTAGATTTTATGATGCAGCTATGAAAAACTCTACAACTGTGATTTGTTTCTCAATGGATTGTTACTAACTGTTTTTAGTGTAGATATGTACTCTTTCATGCTGAATTATTTTTAACTTGAGTGATTATTGTTTCGCTGGAAATATACGCATTTATGTCGACCACCCTTGTCTCTTTTATTTTTAATTTTGAAGACATTGCATATTTAACCAGAATGATAGGCAAAGTAGTAATACTTATATGAAATGCGTCAATCTTAAACTGTTATTATTTCTTCAGTGCGTCATCAAACCTTGTGTGAAGTGTTTCAGTTACGTTTGATCTGGTTGCGTATAATAGTATTCAAGTGTTGGTTTGTAGGGATTTGATTGGTCACAAGATTTCATCATGAGCTGACATTAGTTAGAGAACCATTGGAAAACCAACTGGGAGTACTGAACAGCCGTTTCGTCCTAGTTTGGGGCTCTTCAACGGTATGCACCCACCATCACAGTTCGAACCCAGGACCTTCTGGTTACAAGGCGAGCTGGCTCGTAGACCATTAAGCCACTGGGACCCGATCCAATGGCCAGCTCAAGAATTTTAACCTCTGCCAATTCACGACATAGCGCGACCCCTAGCTAATGTCTTCGGCGAGTATTTATCCTCACACCCGACCTGCTGCACCCTATTAGTCACGACTTCTCAATAGAACCCCAGATAACTACTTACCTTAATAGGGGAAGTCACTAGTGAGCATCCAATGGTTCTCTAACTAATCTCAGCTCACGATGAAATCCTGTGACCAATCAAATCCCTACAAACCAACACTAGAACATCAATGAGATGCTCACTAGCGACTGGCCGCATTCAAGTAGGTAGTTACCTGGGGTTCTAGTGAGAAGTCGTGCCCAGCAGGTCGGGTGTGAGGACAAATACTCGCTGAAGACATTAGCTAGGGGTCGCGCTATATCGTGAATTAGCAGTAGTTAGAATTCCTAAGCTGGCCATTGGATCGGGTCCCAGTGGCTTAATGGTCTACGAGCCAGCTCGCCTTGTAACCAGAAGGTCCTGGGTTCGAACTGTGGTGGTGGGTGCGTACTGATAAAGAGTCCCAAACTAGGACGAAACGGCTGTTCAGTACTCCCAGTTGGTTTTCCAATGGTTCTCTGACTAATGTCAGTTCATGATGAAATCCTATAATGGTATTCACGATTTTCGAGAAAATAGCCGTTGAACGTGTGTTTGTACTGTAATAACGGAACATAACCTAGCAAATGGAGGTTCTGTACATACGCGACTTGTATTGGTATTCTAGGCACTTCAAGTACACTGTGCAACGTATATCGTATTTATCACAAATAGTCTATTATACTTTTTGCAATTAATAGTGTTCTCCGAGCTGGTTGGTTTAGTTGTGGAGCTTTCGTCGTCCTTCTGGACAACATCTTCAGCTCAGTATTTAGCATAAAGTGAAATGATTTAAATTTCTTCATGAGTGATATAATTGCTTCTCCTGGTAACCATCTTTACATATGTGTTGACCATTTTCTACTGACTTGGATTTTAAACTTTGTGGTCACCTGATTTACTTATACTTACGTTGCGTTTAACACCACTATCTCAAAGCAAATCGTTAGGTGATAAAGAGATAACTATATTACTCTTTTTGTGTTATCATATCGTATCAATAGGGTCTTACATGATCACATCAACATTTAGACTTGTGTATTAGTTGATCACGTCACTAAACTTCATTGATTATTTTGTTATCATAAAATTCTGCGACTCATCAGATAGGCTTTTGTTGTTCATATCGCCTGTTTACTATTTACTAGCGGAAGCAATTACTCAAAAACGATAACAGTACCCCATCATGGTCGCATTCAACCACAAATATTACGTCTTCTACACTGGCATCACTTTGCAGCTCGAAGAACCCTAAGTTCATGAATGGAGTGCATAATTCCATATTAGTTTGTTGATTAGATATATCACACAGGGAAACAGTATTATTTACTGGATGACGTTTCGAACAAAATTTATTGCGGTTCATAATCATATCAATTGTAATCACACGACTTTTAAACTTGAGTTTTATAGTTTTCTTTGTTTTCTCCTATTTGTTGTAGGGGTAGTAGAATTTTCCAGATATCAGGGACAGGTGATGAATCATTCCTATTACATGTATTCCCTGTCAGTTGATTTGATAAACAAAGCTTCTGTTATTAATCTTTCCCTCCACTCTATGACATTAGATTTTAAAACTTGCATCTTATCCCATCCTATTGTATGGTTGTGTGTAACTGCACATAGTGAGTGCTATAGCTGAACTGTTCTCTAGATTTCTTATCTTATTTGGGTCAACCAATCTAGATTTTGCTAAGTTTTTATGTTCAGCCAGTCTGACTGACCCTGTTGTACTGTGGTGAGAGCAGGCAGCTAGCCAATTGGTAGACATTAATCTACGTCAATGTCTAGGTCACTAATATTCGCTGTGAGAAAATATGGACAAGGCTGATTCAACAACCAATCACTACAGACTTAAACGTGGGCAAATATGATTCCCAGATAGATGACTTCACTTTCCGAGAAATCTCGAAAACAACCAATCAGAAGACTGCGTTCGTCTACTTGAATAAGCTATGATAATGTACATGAAATATATATTAATACTTGCTGATTTCCGTAATAAAATGATCTGTTGCCGGCCCTTTTCTTCTGTTGTTACACTACTAGTTTGACCTATGTATTTGACCTCACAGTCATTGCAGGGTATTAGATAAACTAAATTGTTTTGTTTTAAAGGCTCCACAGGATCCTTTAACCGACAAAGCTTGTTTCTAATTGAGTTTGTGGCTTTGAATGCCACTTTTATTCCTGCCGGCCATGTTAATAATTCTGCCTAAGGCTTCCGAGGCTCCTTCCTTGTATGGAATAACTGTTGATGATTTAGATGCATTATTGTTGGTGTCGTCATTAATATTATTACTATTATTATCATCATTAGTGTTATCATTATTATTACCACTATCTCTACTATCATTATTTATTTTATTTTTTACATTTCCTTACATATTTCCTGATTAATTTATCCGGATAATCATTAAGTTTCAAGGCTTCTTTTATGTGCATAATTTCTTGTCTTAGATTTTCTTTGGTACTACTTAGTTTTTGTGCTCTGTCACTTAAATACTTCACCAATCCTATTTTTACTGACATAGGATGGGATGTTCGGAAGTCCAAATATCTGTTTGAATGTGTGAGTTTTCTGTAAACACTAGTGTTTACAAACAAATAATAATAGTGACAATAATAATATTAATAACGACACCAAGAATAAGGAATGTAAATCATCAACAGTGATTCCATACGAAGAAGGAACCTCGGAAGCCTTACGCAGAATTCTTAACAAGGCAGGAATAAAAGTGGCATTCAAACCCACAAACTCATTTAGAAACAAGCTTTGTCGGTTAAAGGATCCTGTAGAGCCATTAAAACAAAACAATTTAGTTTATCTAATACCCTGCAGTGATTGTGAGGTCAAATACATAGGTCAAACTAGTAGAACGGGGTTAGTCAGACTAGCTGAACATAAAAACTTAGCAAAATCTAGATTGGTTGACCCAAATAAGATAAGAAATCTAGAGAACAGTTCAGCTATAGCACTCACTATGTGCAGTTACACACAACCATACAATAGGATGGGATAAGATGCAAGTTTTAAAATCTAATGTCATAGAGTGGAGGGAAAGATTAATAACAGAAGCTTTGTTTATCAAATCAACTGACAGGGAATACATGTAATAGGAATGATTCATCACCTGTCCCTGATATCTGGAAAATTCTACTACCCCTACAACAAATAGGAGAAAACAAAGAAAACTATAAAACTCAAGTTTAAAAGTCGTGTGATTACAATTGATATGATTATGAACCGCAATAAATTTTGTTCGAAACGTCATCCAGTAAATAATACTGTTTCCCTGTGTGATATATCTAATCAACAAACTAATATGGAATTACTTACTACCGTAGTGCCCAAGTTTTACACATATATTAATGGAGTGCATAATTAAAAAAATATTTATTTCGACAAATGCAATAATAATATCACTAGTATTTAATCATTTACACAAATAATATCCTTTTTAATCCATTAGAATGTCTAAATGTACTAAGTGATTTCGGAAGTGAAGACCATAATCTGGAAATTGAAAATGACAAACATTCAGTCAGTAAATGACAAGTTAGATAAAAAAACTTGAAACACAGTACCTACCAGTTAAATGACTGTCTCTTCACCGTTATTTGACAAAATAACTAACTCAGTTTTCTTCCTTACTGTAAAATTTTGTAAAGATCATGAAAT